CGTCGTGTTTAATAAAACATTACATTACATTACCTTACCTTACATTACATTACTTTACATTACCTTACATTACATTTCATTACATTACATTACTTTACATTACATTACCTTACATTACATTTCATTACATTACATTACATTACTTTACATTACATTTAGCTGCCACAGACCCATTTTAAGGGTAACTAATTGAAATTGAATAAGCAATGTCTTCATCAAACTTGTCTCAATTGTAAAGCATGTATAAAGGAAATATTTAGAATAAAGCCAATATATAAACTTCCTTTCCGTATAGACGTATTTACGTCAAATTCTCCGGAACCGTGGTTCCACTGACAACTTTTTTCCCAGTATCTGACGAATGCGGGATGTCTGATCGATAATTGATCGATTGTTTTGATATTCACGAGTAATTCCGCGTATGTCTGTCCAACCCACAGAGACGAAGGACTGCGTGGTTGTTCGTGACGTCCACGACTGTTTAATCGGCTTACTTAACTAGCAAGCGATGTGTCAGTTCCTTGTTACTGCGAGTGTAATCGATAAATGCGTGGATCTGTACGTAATGTTTCGCCTTCTGCTCGGATCGGTTTTGCAGGAACCTGTTAGAGCCACGTTATGTGAAATAAACTCGTGGTTCCTGTGTTAGATTCTATGAAATGAGATTGCGTCATCGGTGTATTTTTAGACCCTAGAATAATCAATCAACACGCAAGTGACTGATAAATGTGGGTCCGCGTGTCTAAGTTATTTCCACGCGGAACTTTGTTCAGATGTTATCACACCGAAGAGGTTGCGTACTGGGCAGATATCAGCCGACTGATATGATAACAAATTTCCCGAGGCCTGCCTTAGTCAGTGACTGTGCCATTACAAGGTCATCGAATGCAAGCGCAGTCTGTAGGCAAGTTCCGGAAGTATTTTGTCGAGAGATTAGAATTTTAGACGCGGAGAGAGAGACTTGGTCGTAGATGGGGATTGGATACATCTGGCTAACGACCTGCGACCAGTTGTGGGCTCTTGTGATGACTTCTTGGTTCCATAGAAGAGCGGAAAGGAATTATTGACTGGGTGTTAACGTCGCCATCCTACACGATTACGTCGCTGGAACTTTTCCAGATGTCACTTAGGCTTCTAATATTGGTCCAGCGGATGCCACTGCTTATCACTTATCACTTCTAAGTGCAGTGCTAATGCCGGCCGGGGGTTGGGGGATCACACTTGGTCGTTAGAATTCGTTTTTGAGCTCGTGTTGGATAAATGTTTTCGTGTGCGTACGACGTGAGGAGATGGAAATTTTCCGAGTGACCATTTGAAGTCTGTGTTGTTGTTAACGTGGCGTCCAAGTGTTCAATAGCCGATAATCTTGTGGGGATGAGACGCCATCGTTTCGGATTAATATTTTGCCTCCGTCTTCAGCATAGATATGTTTGCCGTCATGATAATCTCATCTAATACTCGTCTTTAATGGAATCATTGCCCCGTTCACAGGTTCTGCCTCGGGCCCCTGTCTTGAGCCAGATTAGTCCATTTGTCCGGTTCAATATTAACGACGGGAGTGGGTAATTGAACGTTGAAGAACCTCTTGAAGACCGAGGATTCGAACTGATTCTTCCTGGGTGCTGTTAGGTTAGTCTTCGTGGAAATAAACTGGCGTGCCGGAGTTATCGAAATTCTATTTCCGTGGCTGATAACAGCTGATTAGGTTAGCAATAACGCGTAGTCAACTTTTGTCCATTCAGACGCCGTGAAACAGACGATGTTATTGTTCCGTTTGTCGTCGTCTTTGTGAGCTTGGCTGCGGGCCAGAGATCTCGTGACCCCGTTCGTGTCTGTCCTTCCTTCATTTCGTAAGAATAACTCGTGGAATGAACGTGTATTGTAATCGTAATATTTCTGATGCAGCTTAAATCTGAGAACATTCTTCCATCTTTGCTCTCATTGTTTACTTGCAACACTGTTGCTTTAAAGAAAGTTGCAGTGGAACCACGGTTCCGGAGAATTTGACGTAAATACGTCTCTGTATTTAAATTATATTTACGTCTCTGTAATGAAAAGTTATCTTCAGTGTCATCCATCTTGTTACGAAAGCGGATTGTTGACGGCAGTAATGTAACACAACAATGTCGAGTAAACATGACGTTTCCTAGGTAACATAACAATGCACGCAAACTGACCATTGTTGTCGATCCATATTTACACATTGTTGATACGGATCTAAC